TTTATAAAATTAAGTCTCAAATTATTAAAGGAAGGAGAGAGAATAGCTTAGATGTAATGGAGTACTGAGAACATAATATTTCAGTCTGAAATCCTGAATCATCACCAAAAATAAATGTGACTAAAATACTCACAGGTACTTCTTACCATACTAGAGAAAAGTATAAATCTTACTAAAGGATTAAGCTAGGTTACTGAGAAATGTGAGCCACAAAGGCTGTTACAGAAACAATCTCTTGATTCTGTGTATTGTAAGTCACTATTGCAATTATTTAAATATTTAGCAACAATGGATTTATAAGTGTTTGAAAGGACAAGGAAAATAATTTTTGAAAATAATTATGTTTGCAGAGTGAAAATTGAGCTTCTAGGTGAGTATACAGAAAGTAAAACTAAATTTCCTAATTACAAAGGAAACTGCCAGTTAGATGCCAATCCCAAGTATATAAATTCAGCTTAGGAAGCAATATCCTTTATAAGTCAAAGTATAAAATACCATAATAAGAAGCAAGATATACTATCCCTTTGTATATCCATGGATTTCCTGGAATTTTCTTTAAGAAAATTTAGAAATGGACACATTAAAAAGTTAACAGAATTTTAAAATGAAACCTTTACTTTTAAAAAATCATATATATATATATATATATTTTTACAAGCAACTTAATCCCCACCTCAGGGAGAAGTTCCTCCATCCTAGGGCCTAGAAGGGAGCTGCTACCATTTGAATATCCATGATGCGCCTGCATTTTGCATATATTACCTCACATAATCCTCCTGAAAATGAAGGACATTTCTAATGAAGGACAGATTTATTCACTCTCAAATCATAGTTCTTCTTAGGTCTGTTTCCTTATTGAAAAAATTAAAAAAGCAGACTAACTGATCTCCAAATCCAAATTTCCCTCCAGTTGTCTTTTATTGTGTGTGTGTGTGTGGGGGGGGGTAAGGGAGAGTTGGGGACCCATCTGGTGACTGAATCCAAGGCTGCTCTACCACTGAGCTATATCCCTAGCTCTTTCTTATTTTTTGAGATAGGGTCTTGCTAAGTTGCCCAAGCTGGCCTTGAACTTGAGACCCTCCTGCCTCAGCCTCCCCAGTAGCTGGAATTACAGGTGTGAATCACTGCTCCTGGCTCCTTCCATGTTTAATAGTGCATGATTCTACATTAAAGATTTGGGTATCTATTCCTGAGAAGCATACAATTTGGTTAGGGAATTAAAGACAACAAAATAATGTCAGGTAGCAGCAAAACATACAAATAACCTTAATAAAGCAAAAATTATCCATATAACTTGAGTAGTAAATGGCTGTGAAAAATCAAATTAAACCCCAGTCCGTCAGGATGTGAGATACAGAACATGCTGGCAATTACAGGAGAGAAGGGAGGAAGAAAGTAGAGGAAGAAAGCAGGGATAGACACATAAGAGAGGGAGATTTTTATTTTTTAATTTTTCAGTACTGGAGATTGAACTCATTGACTCCTGCATAAGCATTCAACCACTAAGCTACACCCCTAGCCCTTTTTTAAAACATTTTATTTTGAGACAGGATCTCATCAAGTCACTCAGGCTGGCCTTGAACTTGTGATTGTCCTACCTCAGTCTCCCAAGTAGCCAGGATTATGGGCATACACCACTTTGCCAGGCCCTGAGGATAATTTTTTTTTATTACCCAAGACTAAGCTGGTATCCAATGCAAACATGATAACTCAAGTTTCACTGGTCACTCTAGGAAAACTGAACAAATACAAAGACAGACATAAGGCACACATCTAGAGTTTAGGGAATCAAATGTTCTTCCCTTTTAGTGGAACATTTAAACGAGGTTCAGATCACAAGTCACAAAAAAATTTTCAGTTGTGAAATAAAAATCCTCCTACTTTATAATAGGATACCCTTAATATTGTCCAAGGCATGCCCAGGAAGTTCAGTAAGTGTGGCATGTCATTAAAAAGATGACAAACCATTAGCTTTAAGTCAAGGCTAGTTCTAAGGCTAAGAACTTGTATTATTCCCTCAGATTCAAGCAGGACTCCAGAGATGGGAGGAGCACTTGATACTTCATTATTTTTCTCCCTGATTTCATCCAAGTCCAGTTATTTAACCACACCTCTGACAGTCAGTTGGGTCTGGAGTCGTGGCTGAAAAAAAACAAGAGATGTCTTCGGTGTCCTCAGTCATTTAAATCAGTGATCTCAACCCTGCCCAAGCTGAGAAACACTAACCTGACTTTTCAGAAAGAACCACACTTCAGGAGGCCCCTCCAACTAGCCAGCATGGCTTCATGCCACAAACGGGACAGCTCCCCATCTTCACTACCAGCCTGGACCACCCTCCAGATTGATCCTCTATCCCCTGCCTCTTGGTTCAGGGTGCCATTCTGCCTGAGGGCCACCTGTTGGTTTTACTAACTAGTCTGAAGCCCCTGGTTTGGCTCAATGTCCTACCCCTCCTTTTCCCTCCCTGCTCTGCCCCTCATTCAATCTTCATGGTTTGTATGGTCCCTCTATTCTGACTCCCTCCAAACTAAGGCCTGACTTAGCCATTGTGGACTACATTCAGAGTAAGAGTACTAGGCAAACTGCCTAAGTTCACTATGTCTTAGATTCCTCATCTGTAAATCAGGTATAATAATGATAATAATGCACACATCAGATTTCATGGGAATGGCATGAGTAATAAATGAGTTATAAAGTATGTAAAACCAGGCCAACCTGGAACATAGGAAGCATTATTATTATTTCTTTTCTCCAGGTCAAGTGGTAGAGAACACATTCAGTCTCTCCTGGGTATGAAGCACAATGTAACTAAAGACAGCAGCCCTGGGAACCCACTTCCAAGCTTACTTCCTGCTTACCAAATCTACTGAAACTGCTCCCACGTTTGGCTAGGATTTTATGGTAGAGCCACTTCTGGCTTTAAAAATCCTACCTCAGCCTTCTGAGCTGCTGGGATTACAGGGATGCATGCCACTGCGCCAGGCACAATGCGACTGTTATAACAACATGCATTCTTTTCCTACTTCTCTATTCTCATCATCCTTTTGTCCAGTGTATCCACTGGTGTGGATGTAACTTATACCAATAAAAGTCACTCAAAGTGAATCCACTTGAAAAACAGGTCAAATTTTATCCATAAATAGTAAAGGGGTTGGTAAGGACTTTGAGAAAATTAAAAAGCAAACAAGTTTATTTCATCTTATAGTAAACAAAATTCAGATTATAATTATCTACTAAGTCCTCATAATAAAAAATAAATGAAACATTTTCTCTTCAGCATAATTCTCACAAAAATCATATAAAAACAAACAGGCATCCTTCCCATTGCCTCTGATTTTACAACACAATTAGGAAGAGAATCAATCGCTTTACAAAACTATTGAAGAGCTATATCCGCTTTGCCAGGAACTCTCTTAATTGTTTGGCATTCAAATTTCCTCTTTTCAATCACTGATAGTGTCCCTCTTATTAACTTGCTTTTCTTCCAACATAAACTACAACAGTCCCTCTTACCACAGAGGTCATGTTCCAAGACCCTCAGTAGATGCTTTGAAACCCCTGACAGAACCAAACTCAATATATATTGTGTTTTTCCTATACATCATGCCTGTCATTAAGTTTAGTTTATAAATTAGGCAGAGTAAAGTTAATAATAACTAATAATAAAATAGAATGATATACTGTAATGAAAGTAATGTAAATGCAGCCTTGCTCAAAATATCTTATTGTACTTTCACCTTTTCAATGAAAGGAAGGATTTCTCTTTGGTATAACTGAATTGCCAGCAAACTGACTCTTGTGTTTTGAGGTCTTTTTTGTGGGGGACTTGACCACTGAACCACATCTCCAGCTCTATTGTATTTTATTTCAAGACAGTGTCAGAGTTGCTTAGTGCCTCACTTTTGCTGAGGCTGGCTTTGAACTCGTGACTTGGGGCCATTTAAAGTAAGGGTTTCTTGAACACAAGCATTGGCATACTGATACTCCAACAGTTGATTTGGTAATCAAGATGGCTACTAAGTGACTATCCTGTGGGTAGGCCATAAAGACTATGGGTACACTGTACAAAGGATTCACATCCTATGCAGGGGGTTGGGGGTATAAGCAGGATGGCTTGAGATTTTATCACATTATTCAAAGTGGTATGCTATTTAAAATGTATGAGGTTTTCTTTCTTTTTTTTTTTTTTCATTTAATATTGGACTATAGTTAACTATGGGTAACAGCAACCACAGACAGAGTGCCTACTCTAATTCTGTCAGATACTCATTTCTAATGTACTACAGTAACAGCCACCCTTTCCTGGAAGCACCAGTTGGGAGTAAGGTTGGGGTGACAGATGAGAGCAAATTTAAGTAATAATACCACAGACTCACAGTTCTTACCCAAAGTTCAAGAGTTTTTAATGAATACTTCTCAATTTATTATTTGCCTCTGGTCAATTTCCCAAGACCTGAGTTTTTGAGGAAGAAGATTTGCAGCTTCTTTACTCCACCATCTCTAGAAGCTGTACCTCTTCCTGACTATAGTATTTACAAGAGAATGAGAATCCACTGTGATACAGAAAAATAATAATAATGATTTTGTTGGTTGTTTTCGGTGTTATTTGAGCTACTAGGGATCAAAACCAGGAGCATTCTACCTCTGAGCTAAATTTCCATCCATTTTTAAATTTTGTTTTGAGATAGGATCTCACTAAATTACTCAGGTTGGCCTAGAAATTATTAGAATTAACATAATGCCTCTTGAAATAAGGTTTAACTTTCTTTTCTTTCCTCAAAGCAACATAATGTACAAATAACAGCAAAAAACATCTTTTTCAAACAAGCCACATAAGAAAAATAAATAATAATCCTACTCTTCACTAAATCAAAGTTAATATTACATGTTTGGACAAAACAAGATTTTAGAAATTTAAAAAACTCCAACACCAAATACTAAGTCAGACAAAGAAGAGAAATCACTGTGTCTTATTACTAATTAAAAGTAAAATAACTTACCTCTATAGCAAAAATTCCTTTGTCACGCCCATATAATTTCATCTCTTCTGGAAAATGCTGGAATGCATTTATGTAGGGAATATGGCCCTCTTCAACAAATCTATATTTTTTAAAAGAAAACATTTCAATTAGAACTCGGTATTGACTTGAACTCTTTCTGAAAGTCTCTTATTTCAAAGGGAAAGAATTAGCTAAGCATATTCTGTCTCCCACATATTTGTTAAGGATAAATCCGATGATATCTATTATTCTTTGTATTCATGTGTGAGACTATTTAGCCAATTATCTGAGTCTCTTAAAACTTCTGATGAAATAGATTTAATACATCTAGGAAATATGGGTCTTCTCTGTTAGCTTACCACCAGCCTTCCCAGCCTAGCATTCCTTAATCCTTAGTTCCTGCTCATCTTGTCAATCACTTCTTTAGGGAGACCTTCCTTGCCCCCTTTTTTCCTTATCCAACCTTCTGTCCCTAACACCTATCCCAGTGCGTGGCAGATGCTAGTCGCTGAAGGAGACCATTAAGGAAGGAACCTTGTCAGTTTGCTCACCACTGCATCCCACTGTCTGGTAAATAGCAGGAAAACGGAACTGGACGAAAAAAGCACACACATATATAAACAAACATACATATATATATATATATATATATATATATATAAACATACATATATATACATATATACACATATATATTTGTTATTTATATGTATTTTTATTTATAATTCTTTCATTCATTCAACAGAAATGTATTGGGTACTGTATATCCAACACCACCCTTGACTATGGAAAGTCAGCAGTGAACAAAACAGGCAAAAATTCTTTTCCAGTGGAACTTACACTCTAGTAAAGGATGACAAGCATAAAATCAATAAAATCTACAGTATGTTAGGTAGGAGAAAGTATTAAGGAGAAAAATAAAGCCTGGCAGGAGCACAGGGAGTGGGAATGGGGGTCTTAGATGTAAGGTTCCTAAACAAGGAAACTGTTAGGGAAGTAAGGCCAGGTGAGGAATGAGCACACAAAATCCACGGCCTCAGTGCTGCTGCTGGAGCAGAGCTGGCATCCGTCACCTTCCAGCAGCTGAAGAAAGACTGGTCCAAGATTAGTTTCAAATTAAAAATGTGATTTAACTTTTTAGTTTACTGAAAATTGAGAATTAAATATTTTATGTAAAAATGGTGTTAAAGCCTCCCCCAATTAGGTTTTCATTAGTTTCTTTAGTTTACATAAAAGTATTTGTGCAAAATAGTCAGTATTCATATTAATCTGGATCTACATTTTTGATCTGAAATTATTTTATATTCAAGGTGTAATGTACGCCTACCACTTTTAAAACTACCTAGAATTTCATCATGGTAATATAGTGATAATTTATTTAGTTTTCACCTCATGGGATAATACATGCTAGTACTCTGTGGACGGTTAGGAGCTGAGAGATGAATAGGAGATGGTCTGCCTACCCCCAAACATCAGACAGCCTACAGACAAGCCAGGAAGCACACTGCCATAAGTGCCACCAGAGGGGAACACTCAGCGTCTTAGGAGCAGAGGAAAGAGAAACCTGCCCAGGAGAAGCAGACATGCACTCCCCAAGCAGATCTTGAGTGTCTGGAGTTTTAACAGTTTGTCACCATTTATAAATAGGGCTGCTCTTAGCCTCTTTCAAAAGTTTATTTTTCTTTTCAAATTTGAATTTTTATTCATTCATTCATTCATACATACATACTTTTGGTACTGGGGACTGAACCCAGAGGCATTTTACCACTGAGCCCCATCCCCAGTCCTTTTTTTAAGTTTTGAGACAGGGGCTCACTAAGTTGCTTAGGGCCTTGCTAAGTTACTGAAGCTAGCCTTGAACTTGCAATCCTTCTGCCTTAGCCTCCCAAGTTGCTGAAATTACAGATGTAGAAAAAACTAAGGATAGCTACTGAATCAAAATTCTGAACAATCTATTTTCCTCAGCTGTTTCTCTGGATCAACCTAGGAAGTTGAAGAGGAATTCGCACAGACTAAAATCTTCCTGTATGACTCTCCTGACCAATAGATTACTATGTTAGCCACATCCCCTGGACACTGTTTCTATTTATAATTTTACTGCACTGTTTGAAGTTTCAAACTGAAGGACTGGAAATTTAATAAACTGGTCCTTGGTTGCAGATCATGTGAGAAGCACATTAGAGCCGGGTCCTGAACTTATTCCCTCTTTCTATTCCCTTACCACCACCCTAACTCAATTACCATCTCCTGTCTTAAGTATAGCAAAAGACCATGTGGTCTCCCTGTTTTCACCCTTACTTTTATATAATCCATTTTCTACATAGCTGCCTAAATAATCTTTTTAAAAATATAAATCAGACCAGTCTCTCCTGCTGCAATCTTTCAGTGGCTTACTATCACACTTAAAAATTAGGACCATTTCCTCTTATATGTAATTTTGTATAATAATGAAGGTCTCCTTCCATTTCCATGCAATTTCCCTTCTCTCTCCCTTTCCCTCCCACCTCTCGTCCCTGTTTAATGTTAATCTTCGTGGGGGAAAAAAAAAACAAGGGTGAGAAATGAATTACAGTAGATGGGGTAGAGAGAGAAGATGGGAGGGGAGGGGGGATAGTAGAAGATAGGAAAGGCAACAGAATACAACAGACACTAGTATGGCAGTATGTAAAAACGTGGATGTGTAACCGATGTGATTCTGCAATCTGTATATGGGGTAAAAATGGGAGTTCATAATCCACTTGAATCAAATGTATGAAATATGATATGTCAAGAGCTATGTAATGTTTTGAACAACTATAATAAAAATTTTAAAAAATTTAAAAAAAAATTAGGACCAAAGTCCTAATCGGTATGGGGTCTCCTTTGGAGTGATGAGTATGTATGGGGAGTTGATAGAGAAGTGATAGCTCCACATCTTTGTGAATATAGTGGAAACCACTGAATTACATATTTTTAAAGGTTGAACCTTATAATATATAAACTATACCTCAATTTTCAAAAATCCTATTTCTTATTTGACTTATAAAGGCATGCCTATACCCTGCTTATCAAGTCTCTTGGCCTTCAAGCCTCCCATTCCTCCTTCAAATTCACTTCCTTCACTTACAAGATCCTCCTTCTGTTCCTCAATCACTGATCTTGTTTTAGGACTTGGCACTAACAACCTCTCTCTAATTGGAATGCTAGTACTTCCCATCCTCACCAGTCAGATCTACTTTCATTCAAAGTGCAGCTCAAATTATACCTTCCCTAATAACCAATCTAAGGTAGCCAAGTAGTCATTCTCCATCACATCATCTCATTTCAATCCTCTGAATCTGTTCAATCATTTTCTAGTTTATTTATGTACTTGCTCATCTGTTTTCTCCACTAGTATGAGACTTCATAAGAGCATGGACTTGCCCTACATATATGACTAACAATTGCATCTCAGGGGTCTAACTCTAGAACAATACATGAACATAGTAGATATTCAATAAGCATTTGTGGGATAAATACATGTTGGCTATTTTTTATTATTGTTGTCATTATTGCTAGGCAAGCAGGGTCCCTTGTAAGTTATCTGAAGAGTTATGAATTTAACCTAAAGACTATGCAATGATGCTAGAAGAGATTTAAATAGGGAGTGGCATGCACAATCAGTGTACAATATATGGGTGTTCTGGCCAGGGTAATAACAACTCCCTTCAAATCACAGTACTAAATTTTTTTTAAGTTTGGCCATAGTTCTCACACCTAGCATTCACAAGAATCCCTACTAGGAACAAAATTAACCAAATTATATTATTATAATGTATGCATGTACAAATATGCATACATACACACACACATATATAATCTCCTCCTCCTGGAGGGCTTATGAAAAGAGGTTATCATGCCCTACCCACCCCTACCGCCAGAGTTTCAAATTCAGAAGATCTAGAATGGGTCTAAGAATTTGCATTTCTGTAAATTCCCAGGTGATGGTGAATCTGTTGGTCAGGAAGCTACACTTGGAGAACCCGGACAGAGCTCTTTCTAGGAGAAAAGAGAACTAGGATCAAATGGTGACAGCCCCTTCTCCTATTGCTCCAAGCTCTGTTTCCAAACTTGTAAACCCCTCACAGCAAAATAAAAGCCTCCAGCCAACTAGATCAAATCTCCTTGATGGCATTTTAGAATTCCTGTTGGTAAGGAAGGAGAAGGGAAGGGAGATGAGGGAATGAAGGGGAAGAGGATCTCACTCCCATTCTTCCACCCTCATTAGATTCTTCCTGAGCAGAACTTCACATAAATATTTTCTTCAATCTCTAAGATTTTTAGGAGAGTTCTGTTACCCCATGATAAAGCATCTTGGGTGGGATGCCTAGTCCCTTTGTCCAGCTTGAAAAACATGGTTATATTTGTGGATTTGAAAGATGCTTCTGGTTATAAGGATAAAAATGAATAGGAATGATACAAGATTGCAGACAAAAAGTTGTGAAACTATTAAGTAATCCAGGTGAGGAGAGAGACAATAGACACACAGAGAATAGAAAAAAGAATGGTTTTGAGAGTTATTTTGGAAATATAGTTGATAGGAAATAATGACTAACTATATGTAGAGACAGGAAAGAACCAAGGATGATTCCTTGGTCTCTGCAGAACAGGGTGCATGGCATTTACTAACATAGGAAACATTGGAGAAGGATTTGCATTAAGGAGACAGAAGATAAGCCTCTTTTTTAGTCCTGCTGATTTTGAGATATCATAGATACAACCAGGTAGTGTGTCCAGGAGGCAGCTGTATAGATGAATATATGGGTCTGGCCCTCAGTAGACAAGTCTGGGCTGGAGATATAAATTTGGGAGTCATCAGCATATAGATGGTAATTAAAGCCTTGGGAGAAGATGACATCACCCAACGAGGGCATACAAAGCATGATGAGGTTTTCAACTTAAGAGTAAAATTCACTGATTCATGGGCTATCTGCATGCTGAGTTAATCACACCTGGGAAAAGCCTTGTTATTTGGTTGATGTGGCCAAATTCAAAGGCACTACCATTATTTACTGGAAACATTCTGCTTAATAAAAGGCACTAGTGCCAATGATGATGGTGATGACAACAATGATGGTGATGATGAAAACAAAAACAACATGACAGCACTGGGTTCTCACTGCCTGCCAGACACTGTTCTAAGTCCTTCTCAGGTAGACTAATTGCTGAAAGTAGTTACAACCCTATGAGGTAGTTATTATTATTAGCCTCACTTTACCAGTGAGGAAACTGAGCAGAGAGAAGTTAAGTCACTTACATAAGGTCACATAATAAGTGGCAGTGTCAGGAGTCTGGTTCCAAGTCTGTGCTGTTATAAACACCCTACACACTGACTAAACCCAAATATTATTATTCAGAACACATAAAAAAGAAAAAAATTAACATATTAATGATTATGACATACTTATTGAGAAATTCTTACACTAATTTACTCAATTCATTAACATAAAATCCATAGGCCATTGGAAAATGTAAATGCCTACTCTGTATTAATAGGTTCTTCCCATAGCTTTGTTTTCAACTTTTCTTAATAAACAAACAGATAACCTCTATTTTAGCTCTCACAACAACAACACGCATTTTTGTGTAACTACTAATAACTAGTTTGTTAATGTAAAGATCATCTGTTCATCTTTTCTTAGAAAATACTTAATACTACTATTCAGGTATTTTAATGTCATTTTTTTCTCTTCAAAGTATTTTATTTTAGATAATTAACTTTCCAGTATCTCATATGAGGAAAAATCTATCATTTCCACTATATAAATAAGAAAACCTTCCAGGCATGGTGGCGCATGCCTGTAATCCCAGCGACTCAAGAGGCTGAGGCAAGGACTGCAAGTCAAGAGGCCAGCCTGGGCAACTTACCAAGTCCCTATCTCCAAATAAAAAATAAAAAGGGCCAGAGGTGTAGCTCAGTGGCAAAGCACCCTGGGCTCAATCCCTAGTACTGCAAAGAAAAAAGAAAAAAAACCAAAAGATGAATTACTAGTCTAGGGGAGAGTAAACTTCAGAATCAAAACCCCAAATCTAGTCCCTCCTCAAAAAATTTCAAATATTCAAATGCATGAATAATTGACATCGATATTATTACATGATAAGTTCAGCTTACCTCAGAAGATCAGAAAGAGTAATTGTTTCTCTCTGCCAAAGTAAGGACAGATAGCAGAAAGCAAGTGTCCTCGGCACAGTCATCTTCACAACTCCTTTTTCCTTTCGTTCTGAATATTCAACTCCGTCAAGAGATCCAGAACAGACAGATGCTGATTCTTAGGAGATTAAGCAAGAGTTTTTAAAATATAAGTTAACTAATTTGGAATAAAAAATCAAAAAGGCATTTTAAATATCCTAAAATGAAGTTATAATTGATAATCTTTACAAAGATCAATTTGACAATAAAAAGCAATCAAAGGTTAGAAGAAAATCAGCCAAAAATGTAATTGAGGTCAGGCGCAATGGTGTGCACCTATAATCCCAGCTACTTGGGAAGCTGAGGCAAGAGGATCACAAGTCCAAGACCAACTGGGGCAACTTAGTAAAACCCTGTCTCAAAAAAGAAAACAAAAAGGGAGGGAGGGGCTGGGTCTAAGGGTACAACTCAGCAGCAGTGAGCTTGCCTAGCATTCAAAAGGCCCTGGATTAAATTCTTAGTATATGATTTTTAAAATAAATAAAAGGATGAACAATAACAAAGCAAAGAAAAAATGTGTAACTCCTTTAATTCAGACCTCAAATTGCATGTCCTCTTCTCAGAGATACCTTCCCAAACTCTTGAGCTAAAGCAGTACTTCCTCCCATCCCATCCTCCAGGTACCCTCCACCACATACATTACTGTGTCTTTATCCTTCATTAAGCAAATACTTATTCATCTCGTTGTTTGTGTCTCAGGAAATGCCTCTCTCTGAACTTACATTTTAGTAATGGGAGACAGACCAATAAACAAAAAAGGCAACTGACAGACGGTGGTGCTATATAGGAAAATAGCCACGCAGGGCCTACCTTGATGGGAAGGGAGGAGATGTGCAATTTTATGCTGGTGGTCAGAGAGATCTCTCTGAGAAGATGACATCTGATCAGAGACCCACCTGAATTCAGACAAGAGACTAAGGCTCTCAGGAGGAACAACAAGTGCCTCAGCAGGAGCAAGCATGCAAGAACAGTGGGGAGAGGCATCAGTCACTAGGGAAAGTGGGAAGAGATGAAAGCTGAGAGAGAAAAAACTAGTAGGTAGGGCCTTGTTGGCCATGATTTGTATGTTGAGTTTTATTCTAAGTATGATAAGTTTCTGGAGAGTTTTAAACATAGGAGCAACATGATCTCATTTCCGTACTGGAAAGGTCACTCTGTCTGCTATATGGAGTTACAGGAGGGCAGGAATAGGAGGAGGATGGCAGAGACTGGGCTTAAGCACTTGCAGATGGTAAGAGTGGCTGATTCTAGATCAATTCTGAAAGCAGAGTCAAAAGGACTTGGTAATAGACTGAATGTAAGGTTCATGAGAGAGAAGGAGAAGACAAGTTATGAATCTAAGGTGTTTGGCCTGAGCAACAAAATGAAGATCCCATTTACTGAGATAAGGGAGATGGCAAAGAGATTTGACAAGAGAAATCAAGATGGAATTGCAATGTTCAGTGTGAGATCTTCAATAGTAAGTAGGCAGGTGAATATAAACCTAGTATAGAGGAGAAACTAAAGATAGGGAATGTTTTACTTTCAGGATATGACCGGTGGTTGATCAAGCCATAGTATTAGTGGATGTCACCTAAAGGGTGAGGGTAGAGAAGCAGGGCTAGGAATGGCTCTAAGAAACTCCAAGTTTTCTTGAACAGAAACTCTGAAAATAATTTTTCAAAAACCCCTTTTTCAAATTCTATAAATTCTTCTTTCAGAGAACTTATCAGTAACCAAACATTTTATGTGTGCATTTATTATCTATCTCCTCTTACTATACTATAAACACCTCAAAGGCAGATAGTTTTGCTGACCATTCTGTCCCCAGAGTCCAGAACAATTCCCAGAACAGAGTAGGAACCAAAAAAATATTCAGCAACAAACTGTTCAACACCTCTAAGATTCTGTCCTAAAGAAATGGTCTCAGAAACATGCAAATGTTTGCCAAGCACCTGTAATCCCAGGGACTCAGGAGGCTGAGGCAGGAACATCCCAAGACAGAGAACAGCCTTAGCAACTTAGTGAGGCTATAAGCAACTCAGAAAGACCCTGTCTCAAAATAAGAAATAAAAAGGTTTGGGGATATAACTCAATGGTAAAGTGCCCCTGGATTCAATCCCCAGTACCAAAAAAAAAAAACCCAAACATACACAGATTTAAAGTGAAGGAATATTGTGCAGCACTACTAATAATATGAAAAAATTTAGAACAACCTAAGCACCAAGAATAGAAACTTAATTAAGTAATTCCACACAACTGTATACTCCATAATAATATCCATAATGCTTTAGCTCAGCAGTTCTCAAAGTACAGTCCCTGAAACAGTAGCATCAGTGTCATCTGAGAACTTAACAGAAACTTAAATTACTGTATTTTAAAAAGCTCTCCAGAAGATTCTGTCAAATGCCAACATTTGAGGACCACTGCTTTAAAAGAAGTAGAATGCAGATTTCCCCCAAATACTGTTATACACACACACACACACACACACACACACACTTTTCATATAGTCCTCTCATCATGTAAGGACCTCCAGTTAAGATGGCAGATTAAAAATACTTTAGCTTCTGCTCTCTCCCACTACAACAATTAGTAATTGTTAAAACTATAAAAATCCAAGAACAAATAACATGGAAAAGGAGATAACAGCAATAAATAGAAGCTGGAAAGCATATGGCTAGGTAAGGACTGCCTTGGCAGTTAGTGAAAACTAGATCCAAAGTGAGCAGCAGAAAGGCCAAAAGGCAATCTAATTTTTCACTAGAGATCCCTAAAGGTGGCTCAGGAATTGATTAAATTAGATACCCCTAGAAACTGGATGAGGGCAGGGATAACACCAGGAGGACTGCTTGAAAGTCTTGATTTAAAAACAGTTAAGGCTCGGGGATGTAGCTCATGGCTACAGTGGTACAGCACTTGTCCACCATTCAGGAGGCCCTGGCTTCAGCCCCATTTAACAATAAATGCAAAGAAGGGAAGGAGGAAGATGCCCACACACCCAGATTCTTAACCCAACTCTATACAGCCATGTGACTGCCCCTCCCCAATCTTGGCATAAAATTGGAAGTCTCTCCTCTACAGAGTAAAATAAAGGGTCTCTAGAATAAGGTAAGTCACTAACATTGCATGGTGGAAAATGAAAAAAGGAGAATTAAGTGAAAGTCCATGTGCTGAGTACTGTAACAAACTCCCAACCCCCTCCAGGCTGCTTCTTTTTTTTTTTTTTTTTATATTTATTTTTTGGTTTTCGGCGGACACAACATCTTCGTTTGTATGTGGTGCTGAGGATCGAACCCGGGTCGCACGCATGCCAGGCGAGCGCGCTACCGCTTGAGCCACATCCCCAGCCCCTGCAGGCTGCTTCTTGCCCAGTTCCCAGAACACTGATTGCCAGGATTATACACTTGCTAAAGAGAAGACTCAAAGAGATTTCTCTGAGGAATCTGATCAACATGTTGGGGGTGGGGTAAATGGGTGGAGATTTAAAGATAACAATGGAGGTTCACTAAGAAAATAACCCATCTAGATCACCCCTGTCAACAGAGCTGACAAGACTCACCACATGCACAAAACTTTCGTGTGTGTCTCTCTTTCTGGACTGTTTTTATTTGTATTGGTGCTGAGCATCAAAATCAGGGCCTCTACTGATCAAAATCTCCCCAGCTCTTTTGTTTCCTCCATTCTTTTTTATTTCTATTTTTTTTTAAATTTGTAGTTTGACACAAATCCTTTATTTCTTTACTTTTCTGTGATGCTGGGGATTGAACCTAGTACCTAGCTCATGCTAGGCAAGCGCTCTACCACTGCACCACAACCCCAGCCCCTCCTCCATTTTTACCTAAGAAGAGCCACCATAGATTCACTAAAAATCTGAAGAACCTCTCTATCATAAAAAACAGGAGTGAAAATAATCAAATCAGAGAGAAAATCATTAATATCCTCTGTGAAATAAGAAAAGGTGCTCCACAAAAAAAAGAGGAAATAAACCAGGAAAAAAGATTAAGTGAAATCCAGAAAATAAGAAAATCAACAAAAGAGAAGTGACAGAATCGCAGGATGGTAGTAAAAGAGATTCCAAAGTTGGCCAGGCCATAGGTCTTGGGACAGATGCTGGAGAGAATTCTTTCAGAATATAAAATTAATACAACATTTAAAATAAAGAGGAGATTTTTAAGAACTGAGAGAAGGTATAAAGACACATTAGTAATAAATTATAGATTAGTACAAAAAGAAAAAATTATAAATTAGTAATAAATAGAAAGTAATCAAATAACAATAATTAACTCAAGGAATATTAAAGGATACACAGAAAAATCATAGTAAGCTATATGTTTCAGTTCTGAATAGCATTTTTACATTTATAATCATTTAGGCACTAAATACTGATCTAGTTTAAAAAAAAAAGTATAATTGGATTGGCAAGATGGAGAATGAGAAATACAGAATCATGTTCTGGGGAAGAGAGGCAGCAGGGATGTATGAAAGAGCTAAGACTCCATCTTCCACAATTGGGAATTCAATAGCTAACGTCCCAACCAGAAATTAAGATAATACTTGAGGCATGTGATTCGGAGATATAGACGTTACAAAAAATTGAAAACAGTGTCTCTTGGGAAAAGAACATTCAGGGGGATGGTGAACTACACACTTTTTTGTTGTTGCTGTTTTTGCAATTTTTCATAACAAGATTTGGAAATGATCTGAATTACACACTGTGGAATTTTAATTAAGAATTTAAAGAAAGGGGCTGCGATTGTGGCTCAGCAATAGAGCACTTGCCTAGCATGTGGGAGGCCCTGGGTTCGATCCTCAGCACCACATAAAAGTAAATAAATAAAATAAAGGTAATGTGTCCAACTACAACTAAAAAATAAATACTTTAAAAAACGAATTTAAAGAAAACAGAAACAGTTTACAATTTTGCAAAAACAAAACAAAAATCTTTCCCTTTCCCTATATATACATGAAGAAAGAACTTCTAGATGATCAACCACAGCAGTAGTGGTTATTTCTGGGTGGTTCAAAAACCAGTGATCTTATTTATTTATTTATTTATTTTAAGAGAGAGAGAGAGAGAATTTTTTTAATTTTTTTTTTAGTTTTCGGCAGACACAACATCTTTGTATGTGGTGCTGAGGATCGAACCCGGGCTGCACGCATGCCAGGCGAGCGCGCTACTGCTTGAGCCACATGCCCAGCCCCTGATTTTATTTTCTTTGCGACTATCTTCATCTAATAGTTCTGTATTGAGGTGCATTCATGAATTTAGCATAAAACCTAACAGGTCTAAAGATCATCATCTACTAAAAAAACAAACAAAAAATCCTTAACAAAGGTAAACAAAACAATCGTGATGCTTTAAAAGTAATCAACATCTTCTTTTAAAAGGCTTGCATGGTTTTAGAGTCACAGTATGTATGAGACTAATGAGTTTAAGGTTGCCTGAAAACACGAAGAAAATTCCAAAGAGTCATTGCTGTCCAATCATCCTCTGATTCTAACACTTGACTTATTTGGACACAAAAACTAACTTATCTGACATCTGTGTCACTGTGCAGTCCAGCAAGACATGGAGATATGCTGGCTGATAACAATTTTTAACCTTTGGCAAGTAAAGGTTTGCAAAGAAACAGTCCATACAAGAAATATTTTGTTTCAAGCTGGGGCTATGGCTCAGTGGTAAAGTACTTGCCTAGCATGGGTGAGGCACTGGGTTCGATCCTCAGCACCACATAAAAATAAAGAAAGAAAGAAATATTTTGTTTCAAATTTTATATTACCACTGTAAGCTCAAGATTTCAATAAACAGGGCTGGGGATGTGGCTCAAGCGGTAGCGTGCTTGCCTGGCATGCGTGCAGCCCGGGTTCAATCCTCAGCACCACATACAAACAAAGATGTTGTGTCTGCCGAAAAACTAAAAAATAAATATTAAAATTAAAAAAAAAAAAAAGATTTCAATAAACAACGTCTAATACCAGAGAAGTTGGAGCCTATTTCCCAAAGAAATCTTATCAGCACATATCAAGATTGTTATAACCTGTAACAAAAGCCTGGTTAAGTTCTCTGTGGTCTGTTTTCCACCATGATTTTATAAAGAAAAAAATATACTGAAGGAACAACTAAAACAAATAAATATTTTATGGAGAAGGTCTATATCCATAATCTTAAGTATATTCTTAAATATTTAAAGTTATAGAATAAAATTAAAAAGTAAGACATACACATAACAGTAAATTTTATTCAGCTTGCTTTAAGCTATACTTAGAAACTGTATATTATCATGCAAAGTTACATTTTTTCTGCTACAAACTTCTTTGAAAATTCTAAGCCCACATTACACACACACACACACACACACACACACATACACATTCTTTTTTGATCTAGCTTCCTTCTTTCTGGATCTACTTTCTCTTTATCTCCCTTCAAAAATCATACAAATTTACTCACCTGGAAATAATGTACCTTTTTAAAAACTGTACCAAAATTTTTATTTAATTTGCCTTTTTCTCAGGCATGAGATTCAGCAAGTCATTCTTCATTAGATCAAATTCCCTTTCTTAGAATATCACAAGATAGGATTAAACTATTTTTAAGATGCAGTACCAGCTTTAAAATTTTGAACAGTTTAAGTTCTGATTTTTACCTGGTTGTGATGCTTTGGTAATGGGGAAAGGCTTTTGAGTTTGGGCATCAGGCTGAGACTCTGCTCCACTTTCAACAAAAGATAGATGGCTAACATCACTCAGCAACTCAGGCTCACTAGCCCAGTCCGACTGACTTAGGTCATCTTCCAAAACCTGTTCACAAAATAATTTAAATAAAAATATTGCACAGGAGTTTAAAACAGCTAATTTCTGTGAACTTCTTTACCATCATAAATACCATAAGAGAAATATTACAGAGAGCTGCCAAGTCCCTAACTCTGAAAAGTATTTACTTCTGAAACACAATCCCGGATAGCCCCTAGCAATGCTTCTTAAAGAAGGGCTACAGGGGCTGGAGTTGTAGCTCAGTGGTAGAGTGCTTGCCTCGCACACATGAGGTCCTGGGTTCGATCCCCGGCACTACATAAAAATGAACAAATAAAAATAAAGATTTAAAAAAAAAAAAAAAGAAGAAGAAGAAGAAGAAGGGCTACAGACAAGGATGAGTGAAGAAATGCGGCCAGCAGAGCAGAAGGGTCTCCTCCTCCCCCCACCCCCACACTTCTATTATAGCACTAATATCCTCATAATGAAAACATCAGACAAATAATGGCTTCATGCACACTGTCTGGCTTCCTTCTACAAAACCTACCTGGGGAATTTTTGCTTTCTAATCTTGTTCATTCTGTTTCTCCTGCTTGAACTGTCTTTCTTTTCTTCTCCCTCTCTCCAATCATTACTTCGTCTAGTATGCTCTTTCCAACCCACTCTTCTTCTATGATTTCTCATTTCTTTGAATTCCTATAGCACTTACTGTTTATAACGTATAATTGACAAGGATGTACCATCTCATCCCATTGGTTGATAGGTCACACACGCAGTGTGAATGAAGTGATCAGTGTCACTAAGAAGGTCAGCTGGCTGGCTTCTTATTAGCTGACCTTACCTTGAGGAACTGGTTGCAAGCAAAAAGCATCAATATTAGCCCTTCAGGTCAAGAAACTTGATCCTATTACAAGTTGATAAGACATATTTAAGAAGCTCACTAGAGAATGAAACTTAAAAAAAAAAAAAAACAAGGAATGGGATAAAATGCTGGCATTTTCTGTCAAGCATAACTCCTCCCTCCCTGTGGGAAAGCCACAAAAGGTAAGGCATGGACTCTAAGAAAACTGAAGCAATCAGAAGAAAACTTCTGGGAATGGGCTGGTGGCTCAGCAGTAGAGCACTCACCTAGCACCTGCAAGGCACTGGGTTCAATCCTCAGCACCACAATAAAACAAGTAAATAAAAGTATTGTGTCAACTACAAATAAGAAAGAAAAAAACCCCAAACTTCCACAGGCTCCTGCAGCAAGCGCCTATGAGCAGCTCACATTATCCTTTGCCCTCTTCCCAATTCTTCTGGATCATCCAAATTCCCACCTATAGCCAATTTCTCCATTTGTGCAATCGATTCTACTTCTCTTACCTATTTAAAGATAACACTTCCATTTTTTTCTCTCCATTGTGAATATTTCTTCTCTCCTGTATCATTCCATCAGTACACAAATATGCCCTCATTTATACTACTCTTTTAAAAACTTCCTCTTGACCTCAGCTCCCACACAATTTCTCTGTACTTCTTTGCAGCAAAATTCTTCAATAAAGTTCTGAAGTGCTATCTCGAATTTCTCTTCTCTCAATCTATCTATGCCCCAACTGCAATCAATTAACTCCCTGGTGACGTCCACCAGCCTTATGGTTTTAAATATTAGCTACTATACTTTAATTATGAAATATACTTTATCCCCATATTTTAACATCCTTGAAATCACAATGTAGATTATAATTGGTGGCACATCATGATTTAATCTGCAGCATTTTTTTTCTGAGTACTTCCAATAATGGTGTATCTTATAAACAATAGCATTCTAGATTTAATGATGGTAATGCAAACTGACAGCTTTCAAATTTCTATCTCTAGCCTAGACTTTTCTCCTGAACTACAGACTTAAATGTCTAACTGCACTTGACATTTCCTCTTGGATGTCTCACACCTGTCTCAAACTTTTAACATGCCCCAAACTGAATTCCTGATGTTCTTGTTCCACCTGCCATTTCAGTTGATGGTAACTCCTTGCTTCAGCTGCTCAGGCCAAAAACTTTATAGTCACCCTTTTCTCTCCCACACCCCACATCCAGTCCATCAGGAAATCCTGTTGGCTCTATCTTCAAAGTTTATCTAGGATTCAACCACTTATCTCCAAGGATACCATTTGTTCCCAGCCCCCACCAGGGCTTACCTAGGGCAGTGCTTCTCAAACTTTAGTAGATAAAGAAAGCATCTAGGGGTCTGTTAAAATTCAGATTTAGGTTTGGTCTGGGTGAGGCCTGAAATTCTGCATTTCTTATCCATATCCCTGTATCTTCTCTCTCACTTCCTTAAGCTCCATCCTCAGGAAGGCCTTCCTAACCACCTGATAACACAGCATCCTTCCCTGCAGTCCCACTCTTATTCCCCTTACCCTGATTTATATATTTGCTTGTTTATTGGTTTTCTTTTGCAAGTTTCCAGTAGATTCCACCCTAGATTCCACAGCTCAAGGTAGTAGGACGAGGATTCAAATACAAGCCTCCTACTGCTTCTGAAATAGTCACACCCAAAGCACTACAAAAAAAATATTTATTGGGTGTTTGAGAAGGTTAAGCTTCTAAGTCCTTTCTTTCTTTTGCAATGCTAGGGATAGAATCCAGCGCCCTGAACATGCTATGTAAGAGGTCTACCACGGAGTCACAGACCAGCCTCCAAGCTTCTAATTCAAAAGTCAGGGTTCCCCGTCCTTTCAAAAGACAGTATAGGAGCAGGGGATATAGTTCAGCCATAAAGTACTTGCCTAGCATGTATGAGGCCTTGAGTTCAATCCTCAACACCTACTCCCAAACACACACATACAAGCACACATGTAAACACACAACAATATAGCTGTACTTTAGCAACTGAAATTATACTACCAATTTATATATTAGCTTAAAATTTTTCTTTGTGCTTATTTATTTACCAAGATTTGAGTGTGACACTAATACTGCTTTATCTAGATGTTTACTCAAACCAACAAAACCTTTTGGTTTTAAATCTTACGCTAACTTGAAAATATTTAAATGCCACAGAGAACCCTAGGTTTCTATTTTATATTTTCTATGTGTTAGACAAGTCCCAAATACAATCAACGAATACCTCAGCTAAGCTCAGGAGGCTGAGCTGGAGTATCTCAAGATGGGAGGCCAGCCTCAGCAACTTAGGACCTATGCAACTTAGTGAAACCCTGTCTCAAAATAAAAATTTTAAAAAGTGGGGTGGGTTGGTGATGTAGCACAGTGGTCAAAAGCCCCTGTTCAATCCCCAGTATCAAAACAAAACAACAAAAAAAAACACAACATAATATAAAAAATCTCAGCTATGAAATCTTAAGATCAAGTTGTTACTAGTTTGGTTGCTATTTTCTCTTCTAAATTGTCATCTTAGAACCATACAGTATCTTTTGCTTTTCTTGCGAAGTACCTGTCTTCTATATCAAGATAGGATAATGTGTCATAACTCTGACCATAAAATGTTATTTTCCTGGTACATTCAAGTTATTTTTCTTGAGTTTAAATTCATGGTGTCACATTTTTAAGAAGTTTCTCAAACTAATTCCTTAATTTTTCTTCCCCCTGTAATCGTCTCCTGCATGACTTGCTTACTCTAAACTTCTCACTCTTAAGACCAGCAGCACTGCAGATACTAACAGCTCAGAGATGCCTCCTTGTCTCACCTCTGTAACCTCTTCCTTTCACACAGACCTGGGCTTCTCGGTGCCAGGTCACTGAACTCCGCATGTTGAGCCTGAGGACCAGAACAAACAAGGAAACACAGGAACAAATTCCCAAGCTCTTAGCAAATGGGAATCAAACAGATTAAGAATCTCTTCTTCTCAGTCCTGGAGGGCAAGTACTGCATATCAAACACAGCAAACTGGCCTTTCTTAGCAGTGGAACTGTCTTTAAACCAAACAAATGTTTCATGACACATCGGCAAAGCAGTCAAAAACAAGCTGCCAAAAATACAGCTGCTCCAGTAGATGTAGGGAACGGGGTACATGGGCTTATTTTTCCCTCACATCAAGGCTTCTGAGGGCTGGGGTTATGGCTCAGCGGGAGCACTCACCTAGCACACGTGAGGACCTGGGTTCGATGCTCATCACCACATAAAAATAAAATAAAGAAAGGTATTGTGTCCAACTACAACTAAAATAAATATTTAAAAAAAAAAAAAAGGCTTCTGAGAAGAGATAACTGAGCTGAATCTTGAAATGCCAGGTAAAGTAAATAAGTACTCCAAGCAAAAAGAGTAACATACAAAAAAGAAAACAAACTTTTAATAATAGCACATTTAGAAATTCCTTAAAATTTCTACCTAGGGCTGGGGTTGCAGTTCAGTGGTAGAGTGCCTGCCTGCCTGGCACTTGTGAAGCACTGGGTTCGATCCTCAGCCCCACATTAAATAAATAAATAAAGTTATTATGTCCATCTACAACAAAAATATTTTTTAAAAAGCTTCTATCTAAAAAATTAATTAGTCTAATAAGAAGTCAAAATTCATTTTGATGTCTAAATCAGAGACCCTGTCCTGGACTAAACTGAAAGCTTCTTCACCAAAATCCTCTTAAAACATCACAATCCCATACTCAAACTACTCACAAACCCCATATTTCCAGCTCTGTCTCACTACACATCTTTTAGTCCCACTTCTCAGACTTGTGACTTACCTTAGCTTTCCTTCCACTGGTATATATTGGGTTTTTACAATATGCCTGCTTGCTCTTCTGAAGGTAGCGCTTCCAAAAATTATGTAAAACTTCATTCTAAGGTGGAAGGGAAATGAGTGGTGATTCAGGTTATGACAACAAATGTTCAGGTGCATATGTACCACAGAACCTCTTGTACTTTATATACTGCTTTCACCTAAATGCCTGCTTTTCCTCAAGTAGAAAGATAGCATAATAGCAGGTATGTGGGGAAAATGTAATAGCTCTTCTTAATCTTACATTTCAAAGAAGAAAAGGACATTATAGATCACTTAGTTAAACCCTTTCTCTTACATTTTAATTAAGGATCAGAGAAAGAAAACAACTTATACATGACTATGTTTCTAGTCAGGGGTAAGCCCCTAACCCCTAGCACTAATAATGATTTCTTCTTAATTCTACTCTGAATCTTACTCTTCCAGCAATGAAATGTAAAGGTAACATCTAGATACTGGAAGACTTACCTTTAACTCAGGGCCCACTCCAAGGGCCTTTAGGGCTTCTGCTTGTTGGTAAAGTATGTACTGAAAACCTTCACACACATACCAATCCCAGCCTTTTTCTAAATGACAAATAACCACATGTTAGACTTTGCACTCCTAATTTACTAACTCGATGCTACTACATAGTTACAATTTGTGTTTATACACTGTAACTTGAATTTTTCTGTGCTCCTGAATAGTTTCAATTCTTACATTCTCTTGTTTCTAGTCTGGAAAATTTGTACACAAATGCTAAAATTAAGCATTTTATATAATTTCATATTTAAATGTTTTCCATCAACTGTGATTTTTCTGAAATATTAACCTATAAGGGAGAAAAATAAGTAGTTAGCACACTAAAAAAGTGAAAAAAGTTTTTGAAATGATATTTTACCAGACATTGTCAAACAGAATCCTAAATGAAAGCACTCAGTCATTGCTTCCATCACTCACAATAGCCCAGCAAATTACTTGGCAAAAGATGACAAATATCAGGATCTGATAGTCCAAGAGTGTGAAAAAGGCAAAAAGAACATTCAAAGAAAATAAGCTGTTCAATGGCATTCTACTTTTGCAGATATAATTTTACATTATAGGGAGAAACTGAAAGCAAGAAATCTAATACTTCCTGATCTCTGCCTACATACCAAGTGCGTACTAAAGTATTTTAAGTAAATTATTTTCTTGAATCCTCAAAACCATCCTAAGACATTATTAAGAAATATGCCACCACAATAGACGGCAACAGACAGAGCAAATGTTAAATGACTATGGCAACCAGTTAAAGAAAACATTAAAATTGTAACACCACGATGTGTTTTACTCCTCATTACAGGATAAATATAAGTATGTTATCAATTCTTTAAAAACAGCTTCTGAAGTCTGTTACTGTCTTCCAGAATCCTTCTCCCATACACGTGGCAGAAGACTCAACCCGTCTCCCCTACTTGAATGTCTCAGTGTCTCCCAACACCCCCCGACTAACTCAATCCCATCCTGGAAGGGATCTCAGGGTGTAACAGAAAGCTTGTATTTCTGATGCATCCATACACTGTCCCAGCATGCTGTTTCAGAAACTTAGAAACTGATAAAATGGCATTTTAAATTCTGAGTCTATTCCTATTTTACAAAATAAATGATATTACTCTTTTCACTTCAGAGATGAAGAGACTAAGAAGATAAGGTTGACTATAGACACTTAACCCCTTATTAAGCACCTGGAGTTCCTTGAGGAATTTACAATTAAACTTCACATTGTAACTATTTAAACACATCAAGTCTGAATTAATCAGGATTTACTCTGATAAAATTTAAGAAAAATTAATCAGGTTTTAGTCCAATTAAAATTCAAGTGCTAAAATTAAGAATTTTGTATAATTTCAGATTTTAAATGTTTTTCATTAACTGTGATTTTTCTGAAATATTAACCTAAAAGGGAGAAAAATAAATAGTTAGCATACTAAAGTCATCATTAAAAGCAGGGAACATGAATTAGTATTTAGGCATTCTCTGTTATTCATCTAAGAATGTCAATGTATTCCATGTAAATATTTAATTTTCATTCATATATATATATATATATATATATATATATATATATATATATTTGCACAATATTTTATGTATGTGTTATCTTCACAGCTACCTCATGTAGAAAAGTCTACTATTATCATTACCCTGGTTTCAAATTTGAGAATCTGGTCCTAGGTCATTAGTCACAAAAATAAAACGCTTCAGTGGACTTTACCTCCAATCCTTCTCAATAATGGTTAATTATATGTACTCATTAGATTAATAAAATAGATTATCTTTCCAAGCACACCCATGCTGAGGCTATTTTAAGGGAAAATAATCTTCCTATTTTAAAAGGGTGTGCTCAAAATTCAACATGAGAAATGGGCTTCTGAAAGTTTATTGTGTTTAACTCACCTAACTACAGTTGAATGATTGTGGGCAATAAGCATTTTCCTTGAAAAGCATAGAAAATCATATTTCTAATCAATAATAGACATGCAACAGAAGAATATATGCCAGTAGATAAAAATAAATGTTCCTTTTGCTATTATTATCTTTTGCATAATAGTTGCTCCACTGGAAAAGCAACTCAATGACAGTAATAAGGATTTAATAAAAGGTATGATTTAATACATCTGCTTCCAATTTTACCATCAATTGTTACCAATTTTAATTCAATTTTGGAATATCTGCTGTAAAGCTAGCATTTTCTCTAGAATCTATTTAAACTTCCATTCCATGCCCCCAAATCATGACAGTGAAAGATGTGAATAAAGAATGTTAAGTGTGAGGCTGGGGCTCAGTGGCACAGTGCTTGCATGTGTGAGGCACTAGGTTCAATTTTCAGCACCGCATACAAACAATTAATTAATTAATTAAAGGTCCATTAATAACTAAAAAAATTAAAAGGAAAAACAAAAGTTAAGCACAAATGAAGAACGAGCTTACCATGCTTTCTTTTTCTTTTAAGCCCCCTGTTGATGGTTTTTATCTTGGCATTAGGAATAGCATCAGTGTTTATGACTTCCTTAGATCTCTACAGGAAACAAACACAGACCTTATGAAGGTTTTACATCTCCCATAGCATCAAGTATGCTCTGAGAAGTATAATAAACCAAATTGCAAATGCCAAGACCAATCGTGGTCTTGGGAAAATCATATAAGTTGTAATATTCTGGCTAAACTTTATGTTGCTTTTTCATTAACAATTTCTTTCTTTTTTTTTTCCCCCCCAGGGCTGAGGATGGAACTCAGAGGAACTCAGGGCCTTAGGTGTTTACTAGGCAAGCATGCTCTGCCACTGAGCCAAATCCCCAACCCCAACAATTTCTTGATTCTTAAAACAGTGCCTAAACATAGTAACCACAAAGTGTCTGTTAAATGAATAAACTTTATTTTAAATCACTGATTAACTCTATTAAACAAAATCAAAAGTCAAATTTACTTTTTTTCTTTCCTCCACGCAAAACACACTTGGGCATTAAAATAATTTCTGTATTTGCCATACTATTGATGCCTCTTTTTCCATGTGTTTGAATATTACTCTATAACTGCTTTCATGTCTAAAATTATAAAAGTACTATTCTTTGTTTTTAGTGAAACTTACAGAATTTTAGAATGATTAACTGATTAATATAATTCATACCAGTCTTTTTTTAATATTTAGTTTTTATTATAGATGGACACAATATCTTTTTTTTTATATTTGAAAACATGGGAAGTAGTTGTTTATATGGTAGTCCATTTATATCAGTATTACAGAATCACTTCAAATATGAATTTAATCTCCTAAATTATTTCTAACAATTTTTTTCTGCATGAGTTTTTAGTTTGCACATAAACAATGATGTGTAACATCAATTATGATTTTTTAAAATAATTTAGATCAACCTCCTTACCCTACCTTCATAATGTTTCTATATCAGATTCCCTAAATTTGAGCCAATATTTTGTCTAATATAACATTTGAAAAATCAGAGAAATTGGACACAATATCTTTATTTTATTTTTATGTGGTGCTGAAGATCGAATCCAGTACCTCACACATGCTAGGTGAGCAGTCTAGCTCTGAGCTACAACCCTAGCCCCATACCAAAGTCTTTTTCTTCCTACTGCTCTCAAGATCAAGTGTCTAAGATTCTGGCTTTCTCACAACCAAAAATGAATGAAATTTATCTTTAACTCTCATTAGAAATAAAAGATGACAGGATTTTGGGGATGTAGTCTATCTAGTCACAGAAAATATTTTCAAAGCAATTTTAGTGTACTAGGTTGGTCACACTGAGAACATAAGACATGTCAAAGTAAATACAAAAGCAGTTATTTAGCAATAACAAGTAAAACTTATAAAGGATAGTCAGGAAAAAAAGGCTCAAAATACAGATTACACAAAATGTGAAACAACAAAAAAACTAGAAAAAGCTAAATATCTAAAATTAGAGCTGTAAGTAAATTACTGAATGATTATATTAAGGAATTACTTAGAGTCAGCAAAAATATCTGCAAATGTTTAGAATATCACAAATAAAAAGATCTCAGATCCCCTTACCTCTCTCATACATAGGAAAAAAAGACGAAAAGGAAATTCTTGGGCTGGAGTTGTAGCTCAGTGGTAGAGCACTTGCCTAGCATGTGTGGCACTGGGATTGATTCTCAGCACCACATAATCAAATAAAGGTCGACTGATAACCCAAAAAAAATATGTTAAAAAAAAAAAAAAAGGAAATTTCTGAAATGTGTTGAGATCATTAATTTAAGCTTTCATCTTCACAATTTCAAAATTTCCTACAATAAACATGTATTGCTCTTATAATCTTAAAAACCTATTAAACTTATATAATTCCAGCCTATACACTTTTATTAAATATCCATGAAATATCAGAAAAATATCTATTATTTAAGTTGGCCAAATTTAAGACCTTACATTTTTTTTCCTGGATAAAACACATCAATAAGTCTCCTATTCCTTAGCAATTTGGAAATCTTTTTCTCAGACTCCACAGAGTGCCTAGAGCTAGAAGAATCATACACAGAATAAGCTGGAAGACAATGAGAGGGATAGAAAAATTGGGTAATTTGTATCATGATTTCCATTTTTCAAAGGTATAACCACTATCTCACTGCTCATTCCCCTCCCACTGGGTCTCAACACCATACTACACAATGCCAGGGAGCACTAACTACATCACATTCTATGTAATGAACACATCTGCACTGCCATAAAGCCAAGAGTAAAGACCAAAGCCCTGCAACAGAGTTTTGTCTATTTTATGGAAGGAAGCTCTGAGCTAGATTCTTGGCCTTTATAAAAAATATGCTGCCCACTTTCAAGAACTCTACATTCTTGATAAATTTATTCCATGTGAATTGACAGTCATTTAAATGTGGAGCTATTCAGTGGTATCAGAACTTTTTAAGATAAAAAATAATCACAGTAGGGGCTGGGGATGTGGCTCCCGTGGTGGTGCGCTCGCCTGGCATGTGTGAGGCCCGGGTTCGATCCTCAGCACCACATACAAACAAAGATGTTGTGTCCGACAAAAACAAAAATAAATAAGTAAATATTAAAAAAATAATAATAATCACAGTGAATTTAATCAGCCAGAACAAATAAAAGGAATTATCAAAGACAGAAATAAAAGAGACAATGAGTTATGGTAGTTAAATTTCTATTAAAAATAGTATGCTGACTTCATCTGCTAATGGCAAGTCTATTAGGCCACAGGCTTCCTTCAGCACATTTACGTTTGCACTGTGGTCTAACAGTGAGTTTAGTGTCACTAAACACTAGTGCCTTAATATGCACCAAAGCAGAGGATCAAACTGCATATATTTCAAGTGAACAATCTGATGTGCTTGCGTATGTACATATATTTATATATAACTCAAGATACATAATATCTCCATAAAACCATCACCATAATCAAGATAAATGAACATCTTTTTTACACCAACAATTTCATCAGAGAAAACATCTGGCCTTTGGTTTTTTGGGATTGGCTTATTTCGCTTAGCATGATATTCTCCAACTCCATCCATTTACCTGAAAATGCCATAATTTTATTTTGTCTTAAAGCTGAGTAATAGTTATTATGTATATATACCACAGTTTCTTTATCCATTCAATCCCTTTGAAGGGCATTGAGCGAGGTTGGTTCCATAGTTTAATTATTGTGAATTTTCCATCCAAACATTTAATAAAAGTTAGACATTTCATTTTTAGAATGAGACAAGGTCAAATGCCAGGAGCTGCTCCATTTGATCTTTAGGTTCTTCGAGAAGCTATAGAACTTGTTTTTTTATTTTGTTTTGTTTTTTAAATGTAATAGTTCTAATCAGTTATGCATGACATAGAAAGCTCTTCGATTCACTGTACACAAATGGAGCAGAATTTTTCACTTATCTGGTTGTAGGTGAAGTAGAGTCACACATTTGTGTAATCATCATGTACCTAGAGTAATGATATTGGTCTCATTCCATCATCTTTCCTACCCCTTTGCCCCTTCCCTTCCTCCCCTTTGCCCCATCCAAAGTTCCTCCACTTATCCCATGGGCCCCCCCAATATGTATTAGCATCCACTTATCAGAGAAAACATTCGGCACCTGTTTTTTTGAGATTGGCTTATTTCACTTAGTATGATATTCGCAACTCCATCCATTTACCTGCAAATGCCATAATTTTATTCTCTTTTAATGCTGAGTAATAAGTACACTGTGAATATGTACCAGTGTCTTTTTACATTCATCTGTTGAAGGGCACTTAGTTTGCTTTCATAGTTTAGCAATTGTGAATTGTGCTGCTATACACATTGAAGTGGCTATGTTACAGAAGTATGCTATTTTAAGTCTTTAGGGTATAAACCGAAGAGTGGGATAGCTGGGTCAAATGGTGGCTCCATTCCAAGTTCTCTAAGGAATCTCCATATTGCTTTCCATATTGGCTGTACCAATGTGCAGTCCCACCAGCATTGTGTGAGTGTGCCTTTTCCCCCCACATCCTCACTAACACTTATTGTTGCTTGTAGTCTTTTTTTTTTTTTAAAGAGAGAGAGAGAGAGAGAGAGAGAGAGAGAGAGAATTTTTTAATATTTTATTTTTTAGTTTTCGGTGGACACAACATCTTTGTTTGTATGTGGTGCTGAGGATTGAACCCAGGCCGCACGCATGCCAGCTGAGTGCACTACCGTTTGACCCACATCCCCAGCCCCAAATTGTTGCTTGTATTCTTAATGATTGCCATTCTGACTGGAGTGAGTCAGAATGAAATCTTAGAGTACTTTTAATTTACATTTCTCTAATCACTAGAGATGTTGAACATTTTCTCATATATTTGTTGATCTACTGTATATCTTCTTCTGAGAAGTGTCCAGTTCCTTAGTCCATTTATTGACTGGGTTATTTGTTTTTTTGGCTTAAGTTTTTTGAGTTCTTTGTATATCCTGGAGATTAGTGCTCTATCTGATGTGCATATGGTAAAGATTTTCTCCCATTCTGTAGGCTCTTTCTTCACATTATTGATAGTTTCCGTTGCTGAGAAGAAGCTTTTTAGTTTGAATCCTTCCCATTTATTGATTCTTGATTTTATTTCTTGTGCTTTAGGAGTCTTGTTAAGGAAGTCAGGTCTTAATCCGACGTAATGAAGATTTGCCGACCCTGTGTGCTTTGAGCAAATTCCTTTCCACAGAGCAGAGTCCTATTAGCCTATCCAGCAGTAGACTGTCCATACTTTGATTATTTTGGTTATACTGGTCTGAAGATGTGGTCACAGGACCTAGAGCTTCTAGTGTGACATCTCATTTACCAAAGTTACAAAGGACAGTATAACAATTTCTACCTTAAGAAGCAGGTGTGATGTGGTAAAAGGAACCATGGAGTTAGAAGACTCAGGTTCGAGACTTGGCTCAAAACTTGCAAGAATTTGGAAAACTCATTCAACTCTTGAGCCCCACTTGCTCCATCAAAAATAGGCACAACACTATATCTCACAGGTTGTTAGGAGAAGGAAATGAGATAATAGATAAGGAAATACTTTGTAATTTGTATGGCACATCAGAAAGATAAAATGAAAATAGCTCAACATAACTTCAAAAGCTCATCCTCAATCTAATTTACAAATTCCTTAATTCAAGAGTGAGAATTTAAAGACTACTTAAATTCTTAGAATTTGGGTACTGTATGAGTGATAAAGTTCATCAGTTTTTTTGAGAACCACTAGGCTGAAACTGCAATTTTTAAAACTTAAGAAAATTCATAAAAAACATGTTACTTACTTCTGTAACATTGTGACAAGAAGTGCAATAATATTTGCCTTCATCAGTAAGACCCCAAGAGACAGCAGCACATTGAGAACAGCGTTCTTTAAACTCTTCCTATAGAAGAGGGAAAAGGTGTTAATATAAAACCACATTCAGTTTAAACCCTGCAGTTATTAGTTCTACTTGGAGGGTTCCTGTCAATTTTACCCTATAAATTAAAAAAAAAAAAAATCACAGAAAATATATCAGAGATATCTGTTCAGCAAGGAGAAGAGCTCAATCTCTTAAGCAGTATGAAACTCAATTGCAGACAACGTGCTAAAATATGCAGTCTGTGAGGGGAGAAAAAAAAACATGATAGGGATAAACTGAAATAAAACTCCTTGAAAGTGCTAAGAAAAAAATGGTGAAATAAAAGTATAAGTAAGACTTTAAAATTACATATACCATTTAGAAATTCCTCTAGGGCATTAAAAACACATACCAAAATGAAACTAGATTCTTGTTGTTTCTAGTTTTGATTTATTCATTCAACAGTATGAAAAGTATCAACTACATGAGAACTGGACATTTTACTAGGTGCTGGGAGTCAATGGTGAGCAAAAGAGACTTGGAACCTACTGGTAGCAAATATGTATATCTTATGGTGAGTAACGATTAAGTTCCATCAATTTAGCATTTAGACCTTAACCATTCAGTTAACATTGATTGAGCGGGGTATGGTGGCGCAGGCCGGTAATCCCAGAGACTCAAAAGGAGGATCCCAAGTTTGAGGACTGTCTCAGCAACTTCGTGAGGCCTTAAGCAATTTGGCGAGACCCTGTCTCACATAATAGATACATACATAGGTCTGGAACGTTGTCCTGTGGTACAGCGCCCGGGTTCAATCCCCCATACCCACCCGACCAAATTCCGCGAGCCTGTTCTGGGGGACCTTCTAGCACAGCACTGCCTCTGCACGTCCAGGACCTAACTTTCCGACTCTCAACTCTTCCGTGTTGGACTTATTATCATCATTGATCTAATTACCAAAAACTCATTTAATAACGTCAATGGATACAGCATTTTAGGTAGTATGGAAAAAAATGAATGCCAGATTTATTTTGGCAGCTTGGTAAAGCTGTCAATGACCCCGCACTGACAGGCCTCGAGGATCCTCGGCCGCACCCACGCCAGCGCCAGGGGGACGCACGGGTGATCCCGGGGAGAGGGCAGCTGGGCAGGTGGCCCGGCAAGCGCGTGGCGGCCTCCTCCCAGACGCGCCCAGCCAACCGCCCTCCACCCCAGCTCTGACCGCGCCCGGCCTGGAACGCAGCGCACGCGGCCCGCCCTCCCCATCCCTCGCCCCGCCCTGCGCCCGCGGGCGGCCGCCCTGGGCCTGACGGCGTCGCGCGACCGCCGCTCCTCAGCCTCACTGCCCTGGGGGCCCGCGGTCCTGGCCCGCCAGGAGCCACCTCCTTACCGCCTCCTCCAGCTCCATCGCGCCGCCTCGGCGCCGAGCCCGTTACCAGGGCAGCGAGCGCCGCTTCCGGGAGTCGCAGGAGGAGTCCTCCGTTCGGAAACGCAAACCCCGGACTCTGAATTCCGGGAGCCCGCGTCCGTGCGCTGGGACGCTTTGGCGCTCTCGGGCGAAGCTCCGTGAAGCGCGCGTCCTCCTCCGCCTCCGGGACCACGTTCCTTCTTGGTTCGCGGTGAACAAAACCCTGCAGCGAACCAGCGGGCGATTCGGACGCGCACCCCGCTGACGGCTGCTGGCCCCAGTCCACGCGTTCCTCAGGCCGGGTTCCCGCGCGTCCCCCCGCCCTTGCCGCACTTTTCTGGGAGAGGAGTCGAGGCGGAGGGAGGAGCGCGGCTGTTGAGTTAGAGGTCTGATCGCGACCCTCCCGCCTACTGTGCCTCCTTTCCTCCTCTGTAGGAATTAGGCACGACTGCGGGCCCTTGTAGTTGGGCCTCACCGAGCGCGGGCGCGCGCGGCCGGCCTCGTGGGCCCGCTGAACCCAGTCCCGGTCCGGCCCGTCCACAGAACGGGTGCAGGGCCTGGCACTCAGACCGAGCAAAAGGCCGCCCTCCCGGGGATGCTGTTCTGGTGGGAAGAGAAAAAAGGAGACACGGTGACGTTGAGTGGTGGTGTGCGCCAAGGAAGGGGCTCTCAGGAACCGGTCCCACTCGAAATGGGCCATCGAGGAAGGTCTCGACGAGAGGAGAAGAGAGCTTGGACCTAGGCACACATTCCAGGAAGTTTGGGGCTGGAGATGGGTCTCAGTGGCAGAGCGCTGGCCTAGCATGTGTTAGGCACTGGGTTTGATGCTCAGCACTGCATAAATTGAGGTTCATCATCATCTAAAAAAAAGTTCGAAAAAGAAGGTTATACTGAAAAGTAATGGAAAGGAAAAATTTAAAAAGCAATTAGTAGAGAAAGCAAGCATTCAATGGAAAGGAGCGTTCACAAACTAATGTTAACTCTGAAAAGACTGATAAATTTCAATAAACCTGAAAACATTGAACAAGAAGAAAGCAAAATTAACCAACACTGAGACAATAAAAGTGGCATCACTACAAATACCATAAACAAGACGATATTGTGAACAACCAAGAAACTAGACAATTTAGAAGAAAACATGAGTGATCCTGGAAAAACACGAGTTATCAAAATGTATACAAGAAAAAATAAAACCTGAATATGGTGGCTAAGCACCTCTAGTTTCAATCACTGATAATAAAAAAAAGAAGAAGAAGAAGAAATAGAAAATCTAAATGATCACAGATATTTAGGATTTCAACTCCAAAAGTTAAAGAATACTGTCACAAAGAAAATGCCAGTCTCCAATGGCATGGTTAGCTGGTAAGTTCAATCAAATTTTAATAGAGAAATAACATACATCTTACACTCTCTTCTAAGCAATGGAAAGAGAAAGAGAACTTATCAGCACATGTTATGAAGCAAGCATAACCTTGACACCAAAACCTCTTCAAGGATGTTTCAAGATAAGTCAAAATTAAGATCTATCTCAGACACTTGGCCACAAAAGTTCCAAATAAACAGCAAATTGAACGTCTGTTCTTTGTTGTATTCATCAATACATAAAGAAGACAATACAACCAAGTTGTGTTTTTTCCTAGGAATGCAAGGTTGCTTAACATTTTAAAAAAACTATAAATATGACAGAGTAATTGCCTAGTATCATGGTTTAGATGTGAGGTGTCCCCCAAAAACTTATGTGTTAGATAATACAAGAACATGCAGAGATGAAATGTTTGGGTTATGAGACCTTTAACACAATCAGCGCATTAATCCCCTGGCAGGGATTAATTGAGTGGTAACTGAAGCCTGATAGGGTGTGGCTGGAAGAGGTAGGTTTTGCGGGGGCATGCCTTTGGGGTATATATTTTGTATTTGGCCAGTGGAGTCTCTGCTTTCTGATCATGTCCTGAGCCGCTTCCCCTCACCTTCCTCTTCTGCCATGATGTTCAGCATCACCTTGAGCTCCAGGAAATGGAGCCTGCTATTTATAGAATGAGATCTCTGAAACCTGAGCCCCCAAATAAACTTTTCCTCATCTAAAACTGTTCTTGACAGGTCTTTTGGCCACAGCAGCAAAAAAAAAAAACCAAAAAAAACAACTGACTAAAACACTTAGCATGTGTAAGCTCTAGGTTCAATCCCTAGCACCACTAAATACATACATACATACATAGGTAAATGGAAGTGTGATCTAGATAAAGAGTAATCTAGATAGAAGGATAGAACAAAAGATCAACAGAATTGAATAGAAAGTCTGGAAAAGGACCCAAAAGTACATATAAAACCTGATTTACAACAATAAAATTCAGTAGGGAAAGAATCGTTTTTTAGGGGCTAGGGTTGTGGCTGTGCGGTAGAGCCCTTGCCTCGCATGTGCTGAGGCTCTGGGTTTGATCCTCAGCACCACATAAAAATAAATAAACAAAATAAAGGTATTGTGTCCATTTACATCTGAACAAAAAGTTTTTTTAAAAAAAGGAATAGTTTTTAAATAAATTATTCTGGGGCTGGGTGTGGTGACACATGCCTGTAGTCCCAGCAACTCCAGAGGCTAAGGCAGGAGGATCTTGAGTTCAAAGCCAGCTTCAGCAACTTAGGGAGGTGCTAAGCAACTCAGTGAGGCCCTGTCTCTAAACGAAATACAAAATAGGGCTGGGAAAAAAAAAAATAGGGCTGGGGATGTGATGCAGTACCTCGCGTACCCCTGAGGTAAATCCCTGGTACCCCAAAAAAATCAAATAAAAATGGTTCTGGATCATTTGAATGTCCAAAACAAAACATTATTGACCCCTTTCTCACACAAATCAGTTTGAAAGGATCATAGACCTGCATGTGGCAAGTAAAACCATACAGCTTGTAGAAAAAGAAAAAACTACAGGCAAATATCTTTATGACTGTAGTGGAGTAGATTTTGTAAACAGGGCACGAGAAGAATTGCCCATGAAAGAAAAGATCATGAAATGAGATTTAATTAAAATTAAGAACTTCAGTTCATCGAAAGACATCAACGAGGCAAATTAAAGACTGAGGAGATATTCATAATGTATAAATTCAACAAGACACATAACAGATGAAGATTTCCTAAAAAATCAATAAAAATAATATTTCCATTAAAAGTAGAAAAAAGAACAGGTATTTCACAAAAGAGGAAAGCTAAATGGTTGCAAGGATGGCCTGAGGCCTGAGTCTAAGCAACTCCATTTTAAACTCCAGTTTGAAACCTGCAGTCTCACCTACAGAGCCCTCCAGTGTGGCCCTCAGGCACAAACAAGTCACTTCTCCCCACCCTGACAAACTCAGAGTGAAGCCTCTGGCATGCTAGTCTCACCCCATAACCAGGAAAGGCAAAAAGATCAGGGTGGGACCACCAGACCAGATGCTTTAACCCCAGGGTAAATGACATAACTGAGAGACTCAGTGGCAGCTGATAGGGATTAAAAAGGAGGTCAAAAGCCCCAAAATTTGGTATAAATAATGGAGCAAATGAACAGACATTTAGCCAGACAAGACTGATGCACACAAGTCTGAGAGCCTGATGAGGACCTGGACTGACATCCCAACTCTTCTCATCTGCCTGATCCTCTGCATTGTTCTTACTACTCTCAAAATCTACAGCAGCCTCTTGACATTGGTGAGAAAAGTACATCTCCCTATGACCACCTCCTCAGCCAGCTGTCAGCTCCACCCAAGGAGAAGCCTGCCTTGGTTTCTGATCTGATCACCATGGTCTGAGTGAGTGTGCATCTGCTGGTCTTAAAGCCTAAGGCTTGAGACTTTTGATCTGACACTTGAGGTTAGCATGCAGAGGGAAAGTCTGTCATGAGCCTGTCATGATTGTGTGTGTTTGAAGTGCTTAGACTTAATCTAGAATTGTTTGCTGTGAATTGATTATGTCTACTGCAGTGCCTAGCATTAAGGATTATCATGTCCTTGATTAAGAACCTATATGGAGCTGGGGTTGTGGCTCAGCGGTTAGAGCGCCCGCCTAGCACGCCTAGCACGTTCGAGACTAAATAAATAAAATAAAGATATTGTGTCCAACTACAATTAAAAAAAATTAAGAAAAAAAAACCTATAGAGTGAAATCGTATTAAGTGATTTAAGTGAATAAAACATTGAAAAGGGCAGAAGCACGTGGACATTCTTTATCTCTCTTCTGACTGCATATGTCGCACCTTTGTCTGCTCGACAGTGGTCACTAAATAAATGAAAAGGTGCTCAACACCATTACTCATCATAAAAATGCAAATTAAAACCACACTGAGAAATCACTGCACACACAGCTGAGTGACTAAAAGTAAAAAGACTGGCAATATCAAGATTTGGCAAGAATTTGGATAAATTGACTCTCTTCTACTACGTGATGAAGCATAAATTGGTAGAAGTATTGAGGAAGTAAAGCTGAATACATGCTCATTATGACCCAGCAACTCCACTCCTGAACATATAAAAGAGACATGAGGGCTGGGGTCGTGGCTCAGTGGTACAGTGCTCGCCTAGCATTTGGAAGGCCCTGGGTTCTATCCTCAGCACCACATAAAAATAAATATGGTAAAGATATTGTGTCCAACTACAACTAAAAAATAAATATTAAATAAATAAATAGATAAAGGGCTGGAGGTGTAACTCGGTGGTAGAGTGCCCCTGGGTTAAATTCTTTACCAAAGAAAAAACAAAAACAAAAAACTGCTATATACAACAACATAAATGAGTTCATGAACATAACAATGTGCAAAAGAAGCCTGTAACAGATTAAAAGTGGCCTTGAATTCTTTTCTACTCTTCCCATTGAAAGATGACCTCCATTGCCGCCCCCCCCCCCCAGATTTGGCCAGTAGAGAGCTATTTCAATGATTTTACGCGATTTTCAAAGCAATGTCTTTGCAGCTTTTGGTTTTGCTCTTGGAATACTCATTCCTGAAAGTCAGCAGCCATGGCAAGAAGTCCAGCTGCCTGAGACAGCGGTGCTGTGAGGAAGCC